AGATCATGGACATGGGGCAAGGGGCCTTCATAGAAAAGTTCTTATATATCTGGGGACATCTAAGATGTGAAGGACTCACCTTTTATGGCCCCACCGAAATACTTCTCCGCCATTTCCTGCATTTTGGGCAGATAGAACCAACGCCGCATCACCGCATCGTATAGGGAGAGGTAAGCATTGTAGGCCCTCTGGCTGAAGGTCATGCGATCCGTGTGGGATAACAGGAGGTGAGGAATCACAGACCAGGGGGTGAGGATGCCCATGGCATGATCGATGTTGTCCGCGTAGCCCATGGTGCCAATGGTGACCACCGGACAGTTGAACTTCTTGCCGAACATGAGGAAGGCCTCGTGGAAGAACTGCTCCAGAATGACCAGATCATAGTGATCATCCTGGCTCTCGATAAGCTTCTTGACTCCAGGATCCCGAAGAGCATGCTCCGTGGTCAGCATTCCCACGGTCCACCACATTTCAAGGTTATTGAAATCGCTGACAAAGTTCATGCTAAAGATGTTCTTCTTGGGAACTAAGGAGGGAAGGGAACAATTAAATAATAATTAAGTTAGAAAGATTATACACTCACAATGCTTGGGTATATCGAAGGAGGGATTGATGATGATTTCCGTGAGATTCTCATGAGGCTGCTTGGTGGGATGGTTGTTCACACTGGTCACCTGGTGTCCCTGACGCAAGAGATCCCGCTGAAAGTGCTCCAGCCAGAGCCAGTGACTGGGTGCCGGGAAGGGGCCCATGAACAGTATCCGAGAGGCAGAGCCACAAGTGGACAGACCCAGCAGCAGCAGGCACATCAATTGCAGCTGCTTCATCTCCATCTGTGTGTACATTCGAAATCAACAAATGCGACAATTAAAAGCCTCAATTAAATTGTCTGAGTCGGCGGGGAGACGGGGCAAAAGTCGGGTTATTAGCGTCAGATTGGCATTAGCCGCAGTTTATGTTCGCTGCTTGATTTCTCCATTTGCATAAAGCGAAGTGCGATTGCAATGAGTGCTCAGTTATTAATGGCAAGAGTTCTTGTTCAGAGGAAAAGGAAGGCGCATAATTGATTAAATTCAACACCCTCCATGTCCAGATTGATCTTTGCTTGGCATAAATAAATATTTAAATTATAGTTGCATTAATTTGAAAATCATATTGCGATCGGATTTTCTTCGCATTAATGCCACAAGTGTTTTTTTTTGCGGAACACACCTTTAAAGACTCTGATTGAAGCTGATTGAAATGCAGCCAGGTAATTTCATCATTTTAATTCGCAATTAATATTAAATACTTTAAACTAGACGGCATTCTTGTCTACGCGCCATATAAAGTTGATACCTCCCACTGTCTTAATGTTCATTAACTTTATAAAGCTTATTTAGCTTTTAAAGATTATATTTTGTATGCTATTCTCATGCTCTAATCAGATTTCTTATCGCTGCCTGAAATGGGTCGCCCTTCTGAGATTATTTTATTTAATTTGGCCACGAGTCAAGTGCCATTTAAACAAGAAAGAATCTAACTTCGGGAAGGCAACGATTATATACACTTACAGTTTGCAAATATTTTATAGGATCAAATCGATCATAACTAAAATTTTAATAAATATTTATCAAATTTGTATGACACTTTTAGCGAAAAATCAAACTTTAAAAAACTCATAACTATGTTAAAAATGCATTAATTTCAATTCGGAAACCATTCCTATATTTATTTTTGTTAGTTTAACAAATCTGCACACTCAATTCAAAATTTAAAAAAATTTAATTTTTGGCCAACTTTTGACAATTTTAATGATGTAACACCTTATAAAATTTTCAAAATTTTGAAAAAATTTAATTTTTGTCGGACATAGCTAGATCGATTCAGCTTTTGATCCTGATCAAGAATATATATGTTTTATCGGGTCGGAAATGATTCCTTCACTGCGTTTTAAGCTTCTGAATAGAATAATGGTACCCTGCAAGGGTATAATTACACCCGTGCGTATACGTAATTTTTTGGGACTATAAATGCTTGCTCCCAAAAAGGGAGCTTACTTCGGCACTCCGAAGTTTTTAAACCGTTGCCATTTTATCGGACATAGCCAGATCGACTAAGCTATCGATGCTGATCAAGAATATATATATATATAGGAATATAGGGTCGGAAACGCCTCCTTCCCTGCGTTGGATGCTTTTGACCAATAGTATGTACTACCCTGCATGGGTATAAAAAGGCAAATGGGGATTAAAATATGTTTATTTATAGTTAAAAAGAAATTTATAAACAAAAGTAGAAAAGGCTTTCAAGTTTAAGGCTAAATTTAAATACCCTTTGGTTATTTATTTATAGAGTCGCTTATCGCTGTATCATTAAACTTGAAGAAAGTAATTCAAGGTCTTCCCCGATACGGTTCGCTTTTATTACCTCATTTAATATAATTAAATACGAACAGGGTAGCGTCTGCCTTGTACAATTTCACTTGGATTTCCTTATTACTTTTAAAGATCTATATAGACAGCAAACTGAAATATAAATAAAACTTGCTACTGGTTGTCATTGAGGCATGCTGATAAATCGCATGTGGAAGTAATTTTGTCATTGCAGTTCGCATTTCGGATTGTAATTCTCTTTCTCTCTCTATTTCTCTCGTGTAGTTTACTGTTATAATTAAATAATTTATTATTATTACAGCTGCTTACACTGAAAATAATTTGGTTCAGCAAACTTGTGTGGGGTTTGGGGCCAAGGTTGCTGCTGTTTAATCATAATTGTTTTGTAATTTGTTTAAAGCCCACCGCAGCTAATTGTTAATCTTGTCGCCATTAACAATATTTTATTACATTGGCTTCAAGTGTTGGGAAATTCGGTGAATGTTGTAAAGATTTGAGATTTAATTTTGTAATTAAACTAGTGTTTGAAGTCAAAAGGAAAAGTAAAAGTCACTTGGTGAATGTGAAAGTAAGAGATTGCGCAACTAATGCTCTTTTATTTTATTTTATTTTAATTTTTTCCAAATCAAATTTGAGCCAGTTTATGTTACAAAAAAATGTATATGCAATTGTAATGTTTACAGCCATAAAAACTAGTTAAGCTTTTGTATTTTTTAAATGTATAATGGTCGCAATTACACTTGTATAAATAAATAACTTAAAGGTTTGTAATTATTTTAAAAAGATGAATTGAAGATTTTATTTAGTTAAATACGGGTCTGAATATGTTTAAATACATCAACAAAACCAGGCACTAAAAAGAATTTATTTTGAATATGTATAAAATGAAATATAAAAGCATATAATTCTTGTTGTCTTATTAGTATTTTTTATGTGAAAATCTCAGGTTTATCTGAAACATGTTTATTTTTCATCCGCTTGAAGAAAAGACTTTCTTAATCACTTAAATCACCTTTAAATTTGTGAGTTAACAGAGCTCTTGTCGCGTTTATTATTTTATACGTTTCTTATTTATCTCTTTTATTAATTTGCACTTGTGTTTACTTGCTGTTCAGTCCAGAATAATTAGCACATTTGAAATGGAATTAAAAATTCGAATTTAAAGTCAAGTTCAGCGCGAAACGCGACCGCTGAGCACCAAAGTGCACTTATCACTGAAACTCGGAAAGTCGAACCACGAACACCTCAACTTAATCAGCGTTGGCCGCCGTCGACGTCGCGGTCTCCGTCTCCGGTTCAGTCTCAGTCAACAGATACTCACATAAATCCCCGAGAAATGCTTAGATGTATCTGTATCCGTTGGATGTGCGCGTGTTGAACCAGCCCTGGCTGGCAGATATACATACTCATTGTTTGCCTCCGCCTTAATCTCATTGTTTGACTGTCTCGCTCGTGGCTGTGATAATTACAATATTGTTACAATTGATTGCAAGTGTTGCCAAATAATTGTTAGCTGTCTTCTCTCACTCTGTCTGCTTCGATCCCCGTATGATCCGCGATTCACGTGTCAATCTGGAAAGATTAGCAATTGGAGAAATACTATATACGGCGACGTAGAATTGGCCAATGAACTTTTCAGATCTGAGATCATAAATCAATTAAAAGCTTGAGTTTTGGCAACAAACAACATGAATCAGCTAAAATAGATATTTTCTTATCAGTAAAATGTGACTAACCTGGAAATTATTATTAATAAAACAAGCAATGAAGTGTAGCAACATTTTTATATTAAAAAGACAAAGATCATTAAATGGGCAAACCAAATAATATAAATGTTAATTCAAATGGGAATCATCTTTTCGCAGAAAATTCGTTTCAGGATCTTACTAATTCACGAAGTTCTCTCTCTGAACAAAAATTATCTGTGGAATTTCCACTGCAATTGTTAATATTTCCTTTTTACCCAGAAATAAGACAATGACCCTTTCATATTGCATAAGGTTAGGAACAAAAACGTGTTTGAATATTACAAAAGGGAAACTTAAACCGACATTTTATTGGGCTTGGGAATTACTTTCCGTATAACAAGTAAATAAGTATTACATATTATACTCTGTTCATTCACCTTAAGGGGAGAGCGTTCGGTCAAGTTCACTTGCCCGACAGGCCAACACATTCTCAAATAAGAATTAATGTTTGTTTACATTAAACACATTTGGGAAGTTAAAAATAAAAAAAGAAATCCAACTGAAAACCAAAAGAAATCCAAAAAAAGTGACCTTAAAAGGGAACACACACAAGATGCCGAAACATTTCATTGAAAATTGGCACGCTTCATTGAAGCGAAGCACCAAAACCGGGAACCGCACAGTCCGTGGAAAATCATTGAGAAAAAAAAAGAACGAGAGGCGTGGCATGGGCGTGGGCGTTCTGCCCAAGCTGGCGACGATGATGGACGACCATGCCCTGGGCAGGAACGGCACTTTTGAAGCCAACAACGAAGATCGTCAGAGTAGGCCACCGGAAAAATGTTCATTCATAAAAGATTGTGGACATGCCACAGTGGCAGCAAGTTGTCTGTAACAAAAAAATAAAGAAAAAAAACAGTATTAAAGCAATGGAAAATTATAGGAATACTATCACATTTAATAAAATTTTTATATTGCATATTAGTTTAGTATTAGTTGTCGATCCGATAGATGTTGAAGGGACCCAAAAGATCAGAATCCTGGCCCCCTGGAAGCCAAGTCTGTGCAGGCTGACTGGCAGCATCCCGGCACCTCTGCAGAATCCTTGGCTTTACATTTCTTTTCATTATTGGAGGCAACAGCTCAAGCACTTTTCGATTGCCGAACTTCGTAAAATGGCTCACCTTCATTGCCAACAATAATTTCGGCATAATTACGACTGAAAAAGGAAACATAGAAAAATGATACATTATTCCAAATCAAAGAAGTGCACTCACACTTCATGCTTGAGGCGGACAATTTCCGTCTCCAAAGCGGAATTCCGGAGCTCCAACTCAGACCGCAGACAAGAAAACCTTTCAACTCGCTCCTGAAGCAGCTTGATGGTGTGCTCCTGGCTTAACCACTTCTTCTGTTCCTCTTTTAGGGTTTCGGCAAAGTATTTTAACTGTTCGTCTCTTGCAGCCAGCTCCTGGGTCACCTGTGACCATTTTAAGGATAAAATCAGGCGGCTTTATTAATAATTTAAGTTCGGCAAACCTGAATAAATAGCATATCCTTCTTCGCTAGTTCTTCCCTCAAATCCTGCTCTTTTTGTTCTATATCCTGTAGGTTTTTCAGCAAATCTTGGCTGCTCTGGAGCTGCCCCTTCAAATTGGACACATCCTGGCGCAGCTGAGCTGCTGCCTCAGCACTTTGCTGCAGCTCTCTGAGCAAAGGGAGGATTATGCCGGGAATAAAGTAAGTTCTATTACACTCACTTTATTTTTACCAAAGCTGCTTCATGCTGGTTTTGCAGGATGTCGATGGTATTTTGCGATTGCTCGAAGTCATTCTGTAATATTTCTTTTGTATCGAAATGCTTTTGCTATTTGGGGTTGTGCTAGAGCTCCTGCTGCATCCTTACCTCCTCCTCGCTGATCCGAACTTCGGCATGCACAGTGGTCTCCTCCAGCTGCTCCTGTAAGGTGACTAAAGTCTCTTCAGCGAGCTCAAGATCCTTCTCCAGCTTTTGGATCCTTTCTTCCAGCTCGGTCCGCCACTGTTGTTCGCTTTCGAGCTGTTCCTGGAGCTCAGCTCCAACTTTGATATTCTTTGCATTGGTCATCTCCAAACTCGTTAGAATTCTATCGAAGCTACAGGAAAATAAGAAAATTAAAGGCAGGTCTCAGCTCGATCCCGGTTTGCTTGGCAAGTTGACGAACCTTTCTTTTTGGCAATGTGGGCGGAACGGATCTCGGACAGCTGAAGGGCCTGCTCGGAGGCCAGTTTCTCGCTCTGCTCTAGCTTGCTCTGCAGTAAACCAATTGTCAGGTCTCGACTGGCCAGCTCTTTGTCCCGGCTGGCCAGCTCGGCGGCAATATGGGCCTCGAGGACCAGATTCTGTTCGATAACAATGGCTTGGTGACGGAAGTCGGTGGAGCCTGATTCAGTTGAGCTTGATTGTGACCCAGTTACATCTAGCTCGGGGGTGTCTTGAGGGGTTTCCGGATTCTGTTGGGACCCAACACTGGCACGTCGGTCGGAACAAGACCTGGGCGCTTGCTCACCCGAGAGACGGAGTCTAGTGGCGTTGCTGAGCTGAAGAATGTAATTTGTGACTTGGAAGGACACATCCCTTCCTTCGATTTCTACTCACCCTAGTGACATGCTCCAGGGCGTGAGGCATGGGTCCACGTGCGGCCCTCAATATTGAAGTTCTAGTCTCTTAAAACCGTAAGTCAGTCGGTTAAATTCTCATCTTGAAACCATTTAAGGCCTTAAACTCACCGCGTACAGCATACATTGTTAGTTTAGGAAATAAAAAATATTGACGCGTATATGTAAGATATGAAGTTATGAATTTGGATACAATGCGTTCTTCTTGAAAAAATATTTAAAAGTAAATTTTAAACGCGTTCACGAAAATGTTAATTTCATAGAGTGTTAGAGTAGCACTGAAATAATGAGTAGAATAACTTTAGAGATGCAAATCAGAGGCCACTCTGATCGGGGGTCTTTCTTTAAGGCAAAAAAAAACTTCTTTTATCCTTAAATATATAAAAAATAAGAGATTCTGAATAATATTTTTTAGCAAGATCGACACTATGATTCACAGTGAAGCATTTACGAGGTGCAAACGACAAATTGCCCTAAACCCCAAAGCCCATATAAGCTACATAGCTTCTGGATCAATGAAACAATAAGCCAAGCCCCAAAAAAAAATATAGACAAAAATGGTAGTGAAACACAAGAGAAGCATGTATTTGTTTGTTTGCGCCAATTTAATGTTTACTTTGCACTTCAGTTCCATAGCCCAAATTAGGGTAAATCAAACAGATACAGATACGCAGAGCAGCGAGACCTTTTGTATCCCATGGATGGATCTAATGAAATAGATTCTCTGTCTATCAATCAATTAAGTGAACGTGCGCTTTTCCCAGGCGCGTTTTAGATAAAGATACCATTGAACAAAAAATAAATAAAATAAAGAGAACCAAACCCAATGATCAGGGGTGGGCTTGAAGGGATTATATATCCCATAGAGGGTTAGTAAAACCAATACTTATCGTTGGATAATTTAAATATAATAAATACTCCCCTTCTTGGGCTTAATAATAACATACACAAATGATTTTATTATTGTTTTAAAAAACTAATTTCTATGAAAAAGAGTAAGAAAAATCCCTCCGAGAATTGTTTACCAATCCGCCCCTGCAAAACGATGACACTGACAATTTCCCAGGAACTATTGGCCTTTCAATGCGATCGTGTTGCGTTGCGTGGAGCAATTAAAAACATTTTCACCCAAATAGCAAACGATGCGCATGATTAGTCAACGAATTTGAGATCCGAACCCGCATCGGGAAATATCAGCGGGGACTCGGACTCGTCGTCTGGGCAGAGAATCTCATGTTTTGGCAGCTGTCAATGTGTCAATATTAATTTAATATGTCGAAAGCAGAATTCAGCACAATTTAAAATTGAGCTATAAAAGCCGACACACGAAGACTACTGATGGGGTACTTCTAGGGGTTGGAAACGTCACAGAACTCAAGTGGGGTTGACCGTTCTCCTTCTCCAGAAACCACTATCTGTTGTACTTCCTAAACAATTTGTTAAGGGGCAAATTACATGGTCTTCGCCCTTACAAACTCCAAGTTCATTAACTTAACCTTAACACAAACTACCTTAACGACACGCCCTCCAAGTGATTCACTCCCCTGAGAAACTCCCCCAATATTTACCAGGAATTTGTGGAATCTTTTTTCTTGATAGGCAAACACAACCATAAAAACTGTTGAAGCGTAAAAGGATGTTCCAGTAATTGTCGATGGTACTTAACTTTTCCTTTAGAGATAGCAGCTATGTGTCTTATGAGGGCATTATATTTCTTAGGTGCTCAAGGGGTTCCGGAAATGCAAATTAGGAGGATTAAGTTTATATGAAAGAATTATAATTATATACTTGTAATACTGTTACATAGAACATTCTTATAACTAAACTATTTATAGGAATTTAGGATCATAGTCCCCCTATGATATTGGGAATTTAAGGGTACAAAGTTAACCCCTGGAGGGTTGCTTTTTATCTCTATAAGTAAAGATACGAACAGCAAATAAATACAACTAAACATGATAAAGATAGTCACTCGAAATAAACATATTTGTGGCTTGCTCTGGCTCTCTTATTTCGAAACATATTTTGTACATCCTGGGATTGGGGGCTTTATCGCAGATTTGCTTTCAGAATGGTTTTTTGGATTTTGGGCCATGCTCGTTTCATTTTTTCGATTGTGGTGGCTCCTCATCAGCTCCCTGGTGCAATTAGTAAAAGTGCAGTTTTATGTGTTTATTTTTACATATGCCACAGCTGTGTGGCCTAACCTACATATATGCACGCAGTGAGCACTCGGCACTCCTCCGAAAACACTTTTCCGGAACACAAATTGTGCGTGATATGAAGTCGTTGCTGTCGTCGTTATCGTGAACAGGAACAGAAACCGAAACAGCCCCTAAGGGTTCCTTTTTCTAACCGATGCAGTTGTACTTCAGCCTTGAAAAGGGGCGTGTAATCGAAGGCACAGACACACACGGGGGTATACACTGGAATCCCATCAATTGTAGAATTAAATTAGAAATATATATATCTAATAATATCCAATCATAATATAGTACGATCAAATTTAAATATATTATTAATCTTTAATGTCAATAAGAAATGGAATAAACTTATATTAAATTAATATAATTTTAAATAAATGTTATAGACATATATTTTTCTTTCTGTGCCCTTACACCCGCCCATTTTACTCTGACTTTTTCTAGGTGTTTTCTGTGTGATTTTTGTGCATTTAATTTATTAATGAGTTAACCGCGGCGAATTCCTCATTTCGTTGCCTCTGATTTATGTGGCATCTGCTGTCAGTGATGGCTTTCACGGAGGTCGATCAGAGTGCCTTGGGTGCGGGTCCTTCCATGGTGTAAAGGGGTTCATTAGCACGCCAGAAAGGATATTTACACAACAACGGGACAGGAGTGAGCAGGAACCATGTGACTTATGTAACTTAATAGGCTGATGAAAAATGGTTGAGAGATTTTTATCACACAACGAGACACAGGGGCAGCCAGAAGGAAGGCAAACAACATGTGGCAGAGTCGGAATCGCAGTCCAAGTCCAAGTCAGAGGCAAAAGGCGATGCCCCGGCCAAATTGCAGCCACATGTGTGGATGCACTTAAAAAACAGCATTTTAGCAGCCCCTTAGTCCAAACAAAAGTTTGTCTTCAGAGGGATTGCTAACTGAAAAATACCTTTTCTAAGCTGACATTATTCTGTAATTTTTTCCAGTGTCCAATGAAGATGAAGATCATCATCAGAGACAGAGAGAGAGTTGCGGCAGTAGCTGGGACCGCTAAACAAATTGAAAAATGCTCAAGTCCTCAGCCACTCTTGGCACTCGCAATTGCTCAATCCACGCCGTATTTTCGCGTGCTGCTCGCTGCGCAGGAAAATTAAAAGGAAAATGCCCGCCCCTCGCACAGAGAAGAGCGGAGCACCCCAAGCACACACCGACAAAATGAACAACCCAACGTCTCAGTGATGAGCAAGCCAATCGAATTTCAGTAAAAGGTGAATGGTTCTTCGAAAAATAACTTCTAGTATAGAATTAATGAAGCCAAAATAAGGCAAGGAAATAAAAAAAGTATATATATAAAAACTATGATTCACATGTAATTAAGAGATTATATGACTCAGTATTCAGAAACTATACCCTTATACCCTTCCCGGGTAATTTAATTTTAGAAGCTTGTAAAGATGTGAAGGAGTTATTTCCGACCCTATAAATCATATATATTCTTGATCAGCATCAAAAGCTGAATCGATCTAGCTGTGTTCGGTGAAAATTTAGATTTTTTAAAATTTTGTTTAAAATTTTCCATCGTTAAAATTGACAAAAATTGGAAAAAAAATTAAATCTTATAAACTTTTAAATGGAGTATGCAGATTTATTGGCCTAAGAAAAATAAACATGGGAAAGCTTTCCGATTTAAATTTAATTAATTTTTGGCTGAGTTATGAGTTCAAAGAATGCGAATATTGTAAGCTTAATTTTCTGTAAGAAAAACTGCAAGGGTATTTGAACTTGGGCTTACCGAAGATATTTTTCTTTATTGCAGAGGTTAAAATAATATTTTAAAGACACTTATTATTTGTTGTAAATAAATCGAAAGAGCAGAAATATCATCTTGTAATAATTACCTTTTAATTAAACCCCCCCTCCATAATAATCAATTCCAACAAAAATGATATGATTTTCCATGATCCATGGAGGATCCCTTTCGGTATCCCATGGATGCGCCAGCGGGTGGCTCATCACTGTTATCTAGATACAGATACTTATTGGGCCTGGCCCCTCCGCGGTCGCGTTCGCGTTTGCGTTCGAGTTCGCGGAGCAGAGCAGAGCGGAGCGCACAAAAGTCACTCGCGGGTGCGCCATGGAGTGGTGGTGGGCCTGAAATCGACAGGGGCATCCGCGGCATCCGAATCCGAGTCCGAGACCAAGACCGCGGCACATGGACTGCGACTGGGACTGGGAAATGGGAGGGGAGCCCGCCAGTGAGCGCTGTGCTGCGTGCGGAATTTTCTTTCAGTCTGTGAGAAATCGTCGGCGTGTTCGGTTGTTTGCTTCGTTTGCCTATCGGAGAATTTGTTTTCTTTTTGAAATTTTCGGCGGGTGGAAAAGGCGGCGCCCCCCGTCAGAGTTTTTCCGAACTGGCGTGAG